TCACTCCTCAGCGGCCCCGTGCTGAAATAAAAGACGTCGCAGCTCCGCCCTGCCTGCCCCTCCCTGGCTTCAGAGATAGGTGGACACGGAGCTGACCCGAGGAGGCAGCAAGATGAAAGCTCGCTCACCTAGACAGATCTCCCTCCTCTGCTCCCAGCACCCCCATCCAGGCTCCTGACATTACCAGTAGTGATAACTGGTTTTACCATTTTTCAGACATGATCCGCTACTGGGATAGGCCTACATATTGCAGCTGTGCTTCAAGGTACCAGGGGCTGCGGGAAGGGACCCAGCACCAGAGCCTGGAGACAGTCTGCTTTCTGCAGTGCTGGAAGAATACCAAACAATTCCCCTGTCCAACGGCGAGTGCACATGAACACAACACTACTAACTCTGACCAGGGAAGGCTCTGGTCCATATGGTGATATGAACCAGCAAAAGACTAGAAAACAGATCAGTCCTGCCATTTTTCACTGTGAGGGGGGTGAGGCAGTGGGCCAGGTTGCCCAGAGAAGCTGGGTGTCCCATCCCTGGAGGTGTTCAAGGCCAGGCTGGATGAGGCTTTGAGCAACCTGGTCTAGTGGAGGGTGTCCCTGCCCACGGCAGGGGGGTTGGAACTCGATGATCTCTAAGGTCCCTTCCAACCCAAACCATTCTAGAATTCTATGATTTCAGTGGTTGCAGAGGGAATGCTTTCCTCCAAAGCACCACCCTTCAAGGGCTCCTGAACAGAACAGGTTCTGCACATTCAACTCCACATCCCTGGAAAGTGCTGCTCTTGGTGTACCTTTAAGGCTTGATCCCAGGTCTGTTCCACACAGGACTCTCCTACTCTGCACCCTGGCTTCAGGCTGCCTGTGTCTGGCCCCCCTTGCACTGAGGGTCCCAGGTGTGGCCTAGTCTCCCTCTGAAGAGCTCTCCTTGGCCAGGGAAAGGAAGCAGTTAAGAGGAGATGACCAGCCTCTTTGGGCTGTGTTTAAACAGATGTACACTTCTAGTAAGTCTGCCCCACAAGCTGTCATGACTTGCCCTGGTCAGGAGCAACAGCTGCACACCAGAGTTCAAGGAGGATTAGAAGTAACTCCTTTACAGGGGACAGACATTTTACTGTACTGGTTGTGTTGGCCTGAGTGGGCTAGTAAAGAGGAATGATGGAAACACAGGTCTTCCAGACAGCTTGCTAGATCAGGGATAGGCAGAGAAGGTCAGGCTGTCCCTTGGCATCCACATACCTCCCCTGCTCCTTTGCCTGTTTATTTTGCAGTGAGGGCATTTTCTCACCCCGCTCAAAAGGGGAGACCAGTAAATAGAGCCCATGTGACACAATAGCAGACATGCAAGAGACAGAACTGAGAACAGCCTTTGCTCTCCATGTAAACTGAAGTCTACCTCAGTGCCAGACAGATAGCTTTTTTCCATGCTGTTGCACCCAGGCCCTAAGAGGCACTTTGGGCTTGCAGATTAATCAAAATGGGCTGATCTCTGCTCATTTCTTGCTCTAAACTACCTCACTCAACAAGCGTCCAAGAGCACCTCATGCCCCTGGCCCCATGCTGTGCCCATCTTGCCAGCAAGTGCAGCTGCGGCTTGGCTGCCATTTCCTGGAGCCTGCAAGGAGCCCACCTGCCCAATATGGATGTGCCTCCCAGCAGCACCAGCGATTAGCACATGCAGGAGAAGACCTGGGCAGGCAGGCTGCACCCCTCCTAATTGACTGAAGGAAGATGAACACTTGAACTTGCTCCAAAAGGAAGCACAAGCTCCAGCTTCCCCACATTCATTTACTTGCAGAGCTTGCCCAAACCTGCAAGTAGGCATCAGCTTGCAGGCAGGCAGTTTAGAGGAAGCGGAGTTAGGCCAGTGCAAATCAGCTGGAGGTATTGACCCTTCTGGCAGTTTGGATGCAGACCCTGGGCTCAGCTTAAACATGTCTTTGTTCCCTTCTCCACTATATCTAGAAGAACTGGCACTTCCCAGCCATTATTCTCTTCAGCATGACTCATTCCAACTACAAGTCCATTGTATTCTTCAACACTGTCTATCCAGGCCCTGAAAAACACACCAGGGAGAACACCATCAGAGCACCTACACCCCTTCCATACAGGCAATTCTGTGGAGAAACAGACATACTATCAGATATCCTTTTTGTTTTGTTTTAACCACACAAATAACTTATCAAAATGCTCTTTATTTGTCCAGAATGCCACACGTAAAAGTTCAATTTAGCTTAGGGCAAAGCTCAAGGCCAATAAAAAGCACACAAATCTTTCCAGAACAGCCATCCACCCCTCAGGTGATGATGGCATTGAGATACACTAGGTACTTCAGTGACAAGCACCAGAGAGCTCTGGTAGCAAAGCATGGGTAGGGCACAGACAAAAAACAAACCAAGAGCTAGCTTCCTAAGCAAGCAGCCTGAGCAGGCTGCCTGACAGCCATTGCTACAGCATTGCACAGATCAGAGCAGTAAGTTTAAGTGCTTTTAGTAAGTTATCAGGAAGGAGTAAATGGTTGCAAAATGCATGGTGATGTGATCGCTGGAGAGCTCCACTTTCCAAGCCTCTAAGGGAGAGTGGTTTTAGGTTAAAGGTTTCCTTGTACTCATTACATAGGGCAAAGACTGCTCAGCAATGAGTGCAAACAGTGCCACAGAACAATGACAGCTGCAGGTGCAAACGAGGAAAGGCTAGAGGCATGACAGTGCTTCAACATTTATTTTCCCCAAAGACACATAAAAGAATTAAAACAGTCCTAAAAACTACAATGCTTTATAATACTTCACAATACATAAATACTAACTGTGCATCCTGCTTAGAGTAACCAGCAGGGAGGTCTTTTCTTAGGCCTTTATGTCAGTAGGTGCATAAAGCTGTTTCACTTACTTCAGGTACAGAACAAGTGACAGGAGACATGTATGGTAGAGTCATTCTAGTTTGGTTCAAGACCAGGAAATTCTCCTGAGTGGGATGCTCTCCTGTTGACTGGAAGCTATGTTCAACAGATACTGCTCACATCGCGTACAGATGTCTACAGTCAGCCAGTCTGCCGTGATCCCTGTGTAACAGCACAGAGGCTGTGCTAGGCAATGGGGTTCCAAAATGACAGGTACACTGGAGTGAGAGAGGGAAAAAAAAACAAAAAAAGAAAAAAAAAAACCAGTAAAGTTGACCCAGGTTTCTGTTAGAGGGCATGGTGCTCTTCTACCCTTCCCCCACACATGATCCAACACTGCTAAGTCATTTAGCTAAATGCATGAGTTCAGAGCAGTCAGCTCCACTTACGAAAGCTCCTAAGCACCATAACAGCTTCATTTACTGACACCTTCTCTCTGTTGACAATATGTCAGCTAAAGGGTTAATGGATATCTGTGGTTTTGGATATAAAGTGGATATCCAAGGTTTTGGCCACATCCTTATAGCATATGCTGTAGGATGGGGGTTTTTGCCATCCTGAAGTATGACAGTCATGCAGTCACCGAGACCTCTTCTGCAGCACTTGCATTATGAGCCAGATCAAACCACTGCCCCACACAGTTAACTTCAGTAGTGAATACTGCCCCTGATTTTTGGCAGCTGAAGTACAAGCCTTTGAACCAGAAGCTGCTGAGACTTCATTTTGGTTACATTAAATAATGGTTTCAGAGAGAAAAGATGCCTGTTTCCCCAGTAGAACATAACTGATTTGGAAAGAAGAGAACAGATAATGCATGTTTCCAGTCTTGGATATTGTACTTACAACCACAAGGTCTATCTTTCTACCCAGAACTATTCAAAGGTCTTTTTGAAATAGTTCCCTTTCTAGGGACAGAAAGGAAAAGGTGTCTGTATGTGTGTGGAGGGACTGAGAAACCATTTGTGGCATTACTCTTCAGTCAGTTATACCTGAGACCATTAGCACATTTTATTTCTAGGTATAATGGGGGTACTCCTGGGTTGTAGTGACAGACCCCCTGCTGTGAGGGACAGACTATAATGGGGCCTGGGAATTCTTACACAAATGAAGCTGTTGCAAGGAACCTTCTATGTCTGGGCTAATATGGACACTTCTGAATCCATGTTGGAAACCTGGTAGCTAAAAAGCAAAATGGGTTTCAGAGCACCCACACATCCTCCCTTTTGGCCATCTAAAATCCACAATACTTCCAGAGAACTATAGACTAGTTAGACCAGTGGCTAAACCAGTCATTCAACATAACATTCAGCTGACAGCATAACGCTACATACTGTTATCTGCGTGTTTGCAGACTTGCATATAAGTAACTGGTAACATCTGTCAAGGTAAAAACAACATCCCTGTCCAAGCTTACCCAAAACACTCCCAGTGCTCTATTTCATGCAGCAACTCTGAGCTCTTCTGCTCTTGAGTAGCTGGGTCTTCCTCTCTGGAGACTCTCAAAAGTTTTAGGAAGTGGAGTGGCAGATGTACACATGTTCTGAAGGGCATGGACATCTAGAATTACAACACAAGTCACCTGAGTTCTCAGGGAAACACATCCTCCTCCTTAGCAGGAAAATTTGCATGGCATGCAATTGATTTATTGGTGCACTTATAAGACAGACATTAACACAGTGAACTTCCTGACCCTTGTATAAATAGTGCAACGAGTAATCCCAACCACTTTGCACAGAGTGAAACAAAAAGGAACGAGAGTTGTTTTAGCTGAGTACGACAAGAGGGGTCTGTGGCACCCTGGCTGCTTTTGCACCTTGTAATATTCCTTCTGTTTTCTTAGAAACAAGCTAGAGGGTAGATTTGAGGTACCAGTGGGATGCAGGAAAGCTTCCTATGACTAGGTGAGGCACAGGGAAAACAGAAAATGTAAAAAAACCATATGCTATTGTAAAGATTAGACTTGCCTTGATGCAGCAGTCACAGCAGACAACACTACGAAAAAAAAGTTCCCAGCATTATCATTTGAGTAAAGCTCAGCAGATACCAATGCTGCTAAGGGTGACTTTCCCAAGTAAGTCTTAATTTGTGATTGTGGCACAATCACTTGATGGCAAAGTAAGCAAGCTTAGAACTCCCCTATTCAGTTTGCTAGCCCTCCTACTTATGCTAGTTTAGATCATCTGAAATGTGTCAGCATCCGTAGCTTGAAGGCTTGATCTGCAAATGCCCATTACTTTTCACCCAGCACTACCACCTTCAAATCTACTTCAAATCTACTTAAGTGCTTCAAATCTACTTTAGTGAGCCTGCCCATTACTTTTCACCCAGCACTACCATCAGGCACTTACTCAGTTCCCAGTGGTTGTTTACTTCTTGTTTGTAATCAATTCAGTGCTTCTCCACTGCTTCAAATCTACTTAAGTGAGCCTTAATGAGCCTGAAGTTCCTCTTCTTCTCTCCCATGAACAGAAAACCTCTGACAAATAAGTGGATACAAGTAGGTCCAACTCCTTTCCCAGTCACAGGGTCTGGGACTTTCCCAGTCACAGGGTCACTTTTCCAGTTCTCAGTGGAAGATTCTGGTGAAAAGCCTCTCCCAGAACCTGCACAAACCCTTGACTTAAGTTAAAACAAACTTTTAGAGCAAAACGCAAAGACTGATCTCAGAGAAAATGAATCTAATACTTGCACAGTAAATTCAGTTAATACTGAGAGTTGAGATACCACTTCAGAGGCAAGTTTTTCCACATCCTCTGCAGCTGTAGACACTTCAGCCTGGCTTGTGCCACAAGGCAAAGCTGAAGGGCTCAGCAACCTGTTCCTATCCAGTACTACAACATTTTGAATACTGAGGATTGTCAGTACTGTTCTTTCATTCTTTTCTCCCTCCTCATTCAGTTCTTTTGTACCAACTCACCTGCTGCAGAGGTGACAGCTGTAAGGCCACTTAAGAAACATCTGCTTGTGGCAGCTGAAACAGATCTGTGGAAAGGAAAGTTGCTTGTGAATGCCAATGGGAAATATCTTTGTACCAACAGTATCCACTGCCTGCCAAAGAGCAAGCACATGAACCAACCTTCTGAAGGCTTTAGATCCACATACAATAACAGAGGTCCAATAAAGGATAGCAAAGACACAGGAATTAAAAGCTAAAAAGGCAAAAAAAAGTCCTACTTGTAGGCCAGTGTTTTTATGATGCAGAGGTTTGGGGCAGCTGCCTGACAACAGGAGTTTAAAAAAAGGCTCTTGAGCAAACAATAGCTGTATTGTGCAAGAGTGTAACAGTAGCTAGTTAAGAGAGAGGGAAGAAGAGAGACATTATTTGAGGTAGACTGCAGCAATCCCAAAGAGATTAAGTCAGGGCAAATTTGAATCCAATCCTGAAGCAAAAAATGAGTCATAAGGAAGCTGATGAGTCGCTTGAACTTTATAAAAAAAGAACACATTCATACACAGCTGGCAGTCAGAAGTGATATTATCTGGAGAAGTAGAGCTTGAGAAAGCTGAAAAAACATCAGCAGTAAGAACACAAAGCGGGTAAGAGAGCCATTTTAGAATAGGCAGACAGCAGGCATGTTAAAGCAGGGTTTGGAAGTAAGGTGAGAAGAAAACAAGGATTCAGTCTCAGGAGTATCAGACAGATTGTGGAAGTAGCATTGCTCTGCTAGCAGAACCCTTTGGCTCTGTCTGCACTGCTAAATAAGTGAGAGCAAGAAGCTGACCCCTAAACCAAGTAGCAAAGTCTTGCTCACATCTGTGTTGCAAAGGGCTTGTACTCACGACATCTGCTCTAGAGGGGCTGCTTGCAACAGCCCCTCTGAAGGCGACTCACTGAATAAGCTGGCAGCTAAGCAGAGTGGACAGCCAACAGTCCTGTGCTGCAGGTCATTCCCTGTCCCCCTCATCTCCCCAAACTTTGCACTGCCTCACAGGAAGGTGGTTTGAGTCAGCACAACTCAGGTGTGGGAGTCTGAGTTAAGAGCCTTTGCTTCACTCTTTAGCAGTACCAAATCCCAATTACTTTGTGATTTCAGAGCCAGCCAACAGCAACGGCAGTCAGCTCTTGGGGCATGGAAATAACAGACAAGAAGTATCAAGAAAAGGTTATTTTCTAGGCAACCTCCACAGTTTAAGCTTCATTAGAAGCCATCACCACACAAGTATTAAAAGATCGTTAAAGCCTAGGGCCAAACTCAGATCAGCTGTACGAAGAGGGTAACTTGAGGCAGAGAGCAACTCAGCAGTTCAGCACTGAGGGCCATGATGCCAGACAGCTTTTGAAAAGGCAAGGACTGCACAAAGACAAGGAGAGGAAACATACCTTTGCTCTGGGAAAGACGCCATCACCACCTCCTTGGGAAAAGCCTTGCCGTTCCAGCACCATTGCTGCATATCTGGTTCCAATCAGCTCAGCAATGGTTGGTGATGGACGCTTGGTAGGAAAGGGACAATCCTATCAAAAGACAGAAGTTAAGCACCAGAGAAAACTGAAGGAAGCAGATATTTAGGGAGGTCATCTCAAAACCATGCCCCAAAAGGCTCAGGAGCATCTGTCCTCAAAATTCAGTTTTGCCAGTGATGGGGAGTATCGGTTGACTCTTTGACAGTATTAGCAAAGAAACTACTACAAGGCTTTCAATGGTTGTTATAGTTTTGAAGCAGCTTCCTGACACCTCCTTAGCAAAGCAGCTCCTTTGGTCACCACAGTAGTTAGTTAGTACCATCTCCAGAGCCAGTCTCTGGGGAATTCTACCCTTTGGTACAGACCACAGCACAGATGGCACCCTGGCCCCTCCTAGGTACATGATGATCCCTTTCCACAGCACAACACTCTCTTGCCTTCTCTTTCTCAAGACCCACTGGCCCCACACAAACGGCACCTATGGTCTGGTGGTCGACCAGGAGAGACAACAGTGCTTTTATCCCCAGTTGGGGAGCCCAACCCACTTGCATCCCCCATTACACTGCTGAACACAGAGGTCACACAGAGTTATGGTTAGTTTTTTTATGGGCAGGGCAGGGAATGATGCAGAAGGAAAAAAAGGAGGCAAGGGCACAGCACACCTTGTCAGGGCAGAACAGAGCGAGGCCATGATTCAGAAGGTTGCTTGTACACACACAAAACCCAGCATTGCTCCCATAACAGTCATTCAGAGCCTGATTACTTCAGTACTGCATACATTTAAAAGTCACTGATGCGGTGCTATCTACATTTTGTCATCCATTTGTTGCCTTTACTGCAGCTTAAAGGATGTTTCTGAACATATCAGAATCTAGAAAGAATGAAGGGAGATGGAGAAAGCAGGACAGTGGCACTACCAACTACAGTCTGCTTGAGGAAGCCCTGACAGACATTTTCAAATAATGCAGTTGTTCCTCATACAAGAAGAGAAAAATACAAGTTTATTTCATATCCTTCAAACTCGAAAGCTTCCACAAGGTCACTACAGCATCCAATCTTCTCTTAAACTGTCTCCAAGGAGACAACAATACCCCAACTTAAGACCAGCATACAGAATACCCTAAGATGAAAACCACAGAACATGCTTACTGCTTGCACGAGGATCAAGGTGCAAGCTCTGGTCACTACCAGATGTATCAGACCAGGCTTGCTAGCTGACATGACGGACTTACAAGTTCCTTGCGTTGAAGGCCTCTCTCTAAAGATTTGGACCTTTGTCTGTAAGCAGGCAACTGCTGTTGGTCAGCATTCAGGAAACCATTAGGTTTAATGTCTCCTAGTGTGGGTGCATTCATGGGAGGACATGTGCAATTTGCAGTGAGACCTGGATAGGAAGAGAGAGTTTTAAGGTGCAGAAAACCAGCTGGCAGCTTCTACGTATTCACCCCAAAAGCTGAATGCTCAAGAGCATTACTCTGCCTCCTGAAGGCAGCAAGGCTTACATCTCTCTCCCTCAACCCCCATGAGCTCAGATCAAAAGCAGAGGTTACAGCAAATATGCTTGTCAGTAGGCAGTGATGAGGCTTCATTAGCACCATTTAATTTAATAAAATCAAGTGGTGCACTTTCTACTTGAACATTCAAAACACTCATTTAGCTTTTACTGTGAATTCCAGTTAGGCCTTTGGGGACATGCTATCCTTGTTTTGAAGCTGCAGGAGCTATACAACCTTCAGTCAACTGCTGAGGAATGGTTTTCTAAGGGCATCTGCCCAGACTCATTACTTAGTGTTGGAGCTTCTCCTGTAAGTGTCCTCAGGTGATCAGAGAGGAAGTGTACAGTAAGCTCAACCTAAGGCTTTGAGAACCCAGCAGGCCACTGATTGTACTTTGTAACCTGGTTTAGATGTGCCACTAGAAGTACACTGACCTGTGCTGTTGCAGGATACTACTGATGACCTGGCTGAGGCAAGCCAGGTGCTGGAAGGCAGCTTGGGAGTGGTTTCCTGTAGAGCAGAGGACAGGATATTCTCAAGCTGCATACAGGAGACACCAAGCCCTCTTCCTTAGAAATGCTGCTGCTGCTAAACAAAACCCAGGATACCCAGGACTGTCCAGAAATGTTCAAGGCTCAGCCAAAAGTGGAGCAGAGAGAGAAATCAATGTGGCACATTTAGCAGTTTTATATTCCAAGAGATAGTAGCAAGATAATTCTCCCCACAACCAGGAAGCTCCAGGCAAGCTAGTGGCTGGAGCCACTAATTGAAATTCATCTGTTCTCTCTCTCACTTAAGCAAATATTAGTCACAAAGTTTCATCTGATCAGGAACCAACTTCACAAAATCCTCCCTATACAACTCTTGAGTACATTGGAACTATTTTCTTGGCTTCAGCTCACAGGTAGCAACACTGGAGAACAGTTCAAGAGACTGTGCCCCACTAACCCAACTCAAACCCAATGCTGTATCTCAACAGCATTGTTTCTAGCTTCTCTAGAAAAGCAGAAACTAAATTTTATTATATTGGTCTCCATATGAAGGTCCTTCTAGTTTAGCAGTAATGCATCAACGACAGTTCTCAAATGCTGAATATTCCTACAAGTAGCACAGACTTGTGCAAATATAGCTAAGATGTTCTGCTTTTATTAATTCATATCCATTTTCTTCAGTTAAGCAACTGCATTTCAGACAGAAATGTTTACAGAAAACAGATTCCTGTTTGTATACCAGCGCATCTGTGCTAGACATGTTGCATTAGGGCTTAAGTTCTGTTCCACAGAATTTCTGAATATGCTCAGACTGAATTCCAGAACCAAGCAGTCAAGCTTTTCATGATCAAGCCAGGATTTCAAAAACCCAAAGACTATGTATCATGGTTTATTGAAGAATGGTGCTCCTGAAATTGCTCCACAGGCAGAAGAGTGGGAATGTACCAGTAAAGTTGCTTCCTGAAAATAAATTATGAAGTTTTCCTTCCACAAGCTCACATACCACGTGAAATGCAAATACATCAACACATCTAGCATCAAATGCCCCACTGCGAGGTATGAGTGGCAATAGTTCTAGCCCATATTAGCCACACTCCTCTGCATATTAAAACTTCTGCAGGATCTAGTTTTAAGAGACCAGAGCAGACCTTGGTTCTGTAGGCTGCAGTCCTGTCACAAAAAGAAGTGTTTAAATATGATATGGCCTCCTGTAAAGGAAAGGACTTCAGTGAACCCAATAGTACCACATACATTCACTTTTGAGAGACAAGTTCGAGAGACTTGTCAATAGCACAGTCAAGTGGATGGGTGGTTTCATAAGACAAGAATTGCACAGGATTTGAACCTGATGTTCCAGGCTATGCACATGTGCAGACCTAATGCCTGAAGTACTTGTTCCTCTCCAGATTCTTTCAATTTAAAGCCTCACCTGAGCTCCTGGACCCAGTTGCTGTGTTGTAGTGTTGACAATTTTAACTTTGGCACTGGCATCTGGGAGAGTTAAGAAACTATTGCTTGGAGATTTCAAGGCCATATTTGGTGTCACACGCATTTCTGCATGGGAGAGGGCAACAGAAAACCCCATACACACAGACAAGATAAGATATTGTGCTGTAACAAGAAAATGACAAATTTGATACCCACACATCAGGATTTGAGATTTGTCTAGATTTTGTCCTGGTAATTACATAGTCTTTTCATTTTAGGAGATGGTCAAAACCCTGTTCTCTCACTTAGTCGACAAATTTGAACATCCCTAAAAAAACAGGGTAAGTTGAAACATCTAAGTCTTAATAAGACACAGATTTTCTAGAAAGAACTATTCTTATGCCATACCACCTCTATCAACACAAAATTTGCATTCCCACCTCTCTTACATTATACATGCTAAGGAAAAGATAAGTGGGCTTTCATTTCAAAGGCCATCCATTATTTTTCACCAATACTGACTTCACTTGCATGCTTGATAGGTCACTTTGTAGCAGGTACCTTTGGGCCTGCTCCCATTTTCCCTTGCTGCTGATGACTGAAGCTTCTGTGGTCGTTTTATTTCTGCCATGAGCTGTTCATGCCAGCTGGCCTCCCATGGCACTCACTCTTTCAGCTTCCTCTCCAGCACCTGGAGGCAAAGCATAGCACCAGAAAGAGCCAGTGGATAGAGGGAGGAGACAAATGGTGACAGAACTACTCCTTCAGCAACAGCAGTGTTTTACCAGTGCCTCTCACTCAAGAGGGCATTCAGCCTTGCACACGAGAGACAGATGAGAGAACCTTTAGACAATGCATAGTAGAATACTTTAGCAACTCTCAACTTTGAAGCAGAGAACTCCAGGAATACTTTCAGGACCACAAAATGTTCCAAACAGAAGAAGCAACAGAGGAAGTAGGGAGACTGATTGTCTTTATCCTATGATATCCTATGGAGATGTCACCTCCCACTTTCATAACCCCATGTTTTGGCAGGAGGGTCTGCCCAAAAGTTAAGTATCATTAATATATCCCACTCCCAAATCCAAACCAGTAGCTAAGACATTAGCTCTATGTTCTTAGAAACTGCTCTGTCAACCCCAGAATCATCTTGTTTTGCTACAATTAAATGTAGAACCAGGTCACTTACAGGTTTTAGATGACGCTTGGGAGCAGCTACATCAACTTTAAGGGTCCTGTGTTTTTGCTTGATGATCACCTGAAAAAGCAGAAATGATGCTTAAGCAATAGTTTTTACTCTACTCCCTGTACACCCTCCCATTCAGTGGCACAGTGAATGATTCAAGTCAGGATTTGGGAATGGAGGAGGTTGGGAAGGCATAACAAAACTGAGCTGGGAAGTATAGAATGATGTTTACTTACGTGGGGTTTTGGTAGAGACAGATTTGCCTGTGGCAAACTAGAGGCAATCAGAACCACTGCACAGCCCCTTGGGGTTTGCACAAGATGCATACAGCCTTCTAGACCCAGCAGCTCAGGAACTGCTCTGAGGAGCTACTGGAAAACATTGTACTCGGATTTTAATGTCAGGAGTGATCCTGACAAGCACCATGGTCACATCACATTCATTAGTGAGAACTCAGCTCCAGGGAGGAGAGTAATTGAATGGGTTAACAATACTGTAACAAGAACTGTACCAGCAGGCATCTGTATGCATAAGCTAGTGTCCCAGAGACTGGCTTACAGCCCTACATAAACTAGGAACAATAGCAAGATAGAATTGCAGGGCAGGTATTCATGTGAGGCAGGCTGTCTCCCTCATCAGGCCCTGTGCTTACTGCATAGGAGAGAACAGAGAAAAAAGTCCAGTTGCACATGCATGTCTTTAGCTGCCCTGATCACTTATTCTTACTTTGAGGCTATGCCATTTACCTTCCCTGTGTGTACAACTCCAGAACACGTGGGAGTGCACGTAGAAAAACACTACAGCTTCCCACACTAGCTGTGCTTTCATTCATTTGCAAATTAGACCACGGTTTGCTACAGAAGCTTTAAAATAGCTTTGCAGATGGGGAAATCCTCACTTAAGAGCCTTCACAAAGACCTGAGCAGTAGCACTCTATGCTTTCTTCTAGCACTTCTGACTCCTAGTCTTCAAACATGTTTGTGCTTCTCCTCGACCACAGCAGAAACATTTTTAATGGAGAAAATAATAAAATCAAGACCCAGTTCATCCTGCCACCTTGAGTTACAGTTCTGTACTGCACAGTACGTTACTAAACAGTACATTTGCAAGGACCACAAGCAGTTATAATCTCCTTTCCACTACTATTCATTTATATATCAATCAATATATCATCTCCAGAGAAATGTCATAGCCTTATCTGAAGGCTGGAGCCACAGTCAAGACAAGCAAGCGCTCGGGTTTTATAGACATGCACGGTTTAGCTGAGACTTTTCAAACCCTTGCACTCTAGCAGCACCAACAAGGAAAAAAAAAAAGATTATGTCTAGTGTGGCATGTAAAGTTTTCACTTTTAAAAATATCACTCTTTATTACAAGTAGAGCTGTGTCTCATCTTCTGCCGAGACATCTGCTTGCAAAGCACACCAATGCCACAAAGCTTTATGCCAATGTTTTAGGTCTGTTCATCATTCCTAGCTCAAGCTGCAGCAAGCGAACACCATCACAAGCCCTTAGAGACACCCCAGGCATTTTTGTACCTGGTCATCTTCACCAAACATCCATATCGTTGGAAGCCTCTACCACTTGAGTCAGCATAGCAGCTGCCCTGGATGGGGCTCAGGTCTTTTTACCCTGACTGAACTCCTGCAGTAGCTTGTGTACACTTCCTAGAGGCCTCTGCCTGAGGCTGAGCAAAGGACTCGCTCAGAAGTGCTTCTGCACTGGCACACATCCCACAACATCCAGGAAGGCAAGGAAACTAGTAAGAGATGCTAAGCACAGCTCAGCTCAAGAAGCATGAGAGGACACAAGTGTCCAAGGTGGAAAGAAAGCATAAGCAGGCAAGGGTCTGTTTCCTGAAACTGCTCCAGGGAAAGGAGTGGCTGACCCCTGGAGGGGGGAAAAAGTTTACCATCCCACTTCATGGAAATGTGGCCAAATTAAAAAGTTACAGGAAATGAAGCACTTGGGTGGACAAACAGAGTGACCTAATGTTGAGCTGCAGCTGGGAGAGAGACCCAGACACTTCTGGACTTGGAAGTATCTTTGAGAAAGAGAGGCTTTTGGAGAAGAGGTGTCAACAAATACTACTTAGAAATGAGGTAGAACAGTTGGTTGCAAAGTTGTCCGTTGACTCTAGTGACTCACCTTCCGAAGGGTGTACCTCTTGTGCTGAATATCATCCAAAAGTAATTCATAGGGAGAGCGGATACATTCTTTTGGAGGTGTGTGACGCTGTGCTCGCTCAGTGGCCTTGCGCAGCCTCACACCATTCTGCAGTTCACAGATGACGTTGGGCCACAGGGATGGCTAGGAGAAACCAGTGAGGGCCAAGTCAACAGCTGGCTACAATGCACAGGGTGGCATTCCCTCCCTCCATGTAACAGGGCACACTTAGCAACTGAAGTCATTCATAAAAATTTAAGGGTGTCCTTAACATCCCCTTCAACTCACTCACACATCAGGGCACAGTACCAGAACAGAGAACTGCTTCTCTTTGCAGAAGTTAATTTACAACGAGGAATCTGGGAGCTCGCTCACCAGGTTCATTCCCAAATTTTGACATTAACTTTATGAATGTACTTCAGCAAAACACAGCTGCCAGATCTAGACCCATTTCCTTGAATACCTACTTCCTGCAAGTACTCCACGTGCCAGAGTATTTTCATATTATTAGACCCTAGGAAACACTGGGAATGAAATCTCAAATCTGACCATTAAAATCATCTGAACTTTCAGAAACCAAGGGTTGAAAGGCCCACAGACAAAAGAGGAAGACAAGAGGAAAGGGATCTCATACTTTAACCTTCACAGCAGCATACATTAGCAGTTTCAGCCTGGAGACACAAGCTGATAACTCTGACATCTGCTCATCCTGTTCCTGTATTAAAATCTGAGGATGCTCAGGCATGCAGTATAATCCAACAAAAGTTAAAGACAGGGAAAAAAAATAATCAACTCAATAGCATGTTTAGACAACATTGTAATGGAAGTGCTAAGTCAACAGCTTATCTGGATCCCAAAGGCAAACTAAGTAAGAGCAAGTGATTGTATTATAAACAGAGAAAGGGAAGCAAAACATTTCAGAAAACTGCCTCAGAACAAAACGTCTGACTTAGACTCCTCTTCCTTTTCCACTTACAGTATGAAGCATCTGCTCTCAACTTATCCCTTCAGATATCTTGGTATAATATCAGAGTCTTATGCAAGCTCTGACTGATAGCTGCCTTCAATGAGATAGATTTTTTGTTGGATTGTTTTAGTGCGGCTTTGATACAGTCATACCTCAAATCCAGAAAACTAGAACTGTCAGAGAGCGACCATGTAATAGCTGTATCTCCTGGACTACATTTATTGTGTAGGAGAACATACAAAAGTCTCTGGACAAACTGGTCAGTATTAGAGACCTCTGAAATAGCTTACTTATCCTGATCCATTTGCATTTTCTAGAGTTGTACTTCACATGGTAACAGAACTTGATGAAAAGATGTGACCTGAAGACAGACTTCCATGCTGTAATATTGCCACATTAGCTTCAGCACAAGAATTACCTTCAGCTGGCCATTTTAGAGCAACTTGTACACCCAAAACATTTTTCAGATGCAGGGGACATTGTTATTCCCTACTGACTGGATCACTGAAATTATTCTACTTGGGCCATCTCATGTGTTGTCAAATTCTGCATAAACTTCCCACACCTGTGCAATACAACACAAGATGCTACAACACTGCAAACCCATTGCATTCAGTTCAACAGATGAGTGGTAAGACAGCTGTGTTCCTAAGAGGTCTCCCTGCTTAGCTTTCAAGGTGAAGACTGCCTCATGACATGTATGGATAAGGCCTGCTGAAACTCTGCAATCCTGCACACTATCAGGATTAGGTCTATGTTTCAGAAGGCCTGTTTCATAGCAGTCAACATGAAAAAGTGTGGTCAATAGAGAGTATCAGCTGCTTGGCACCACTCAAGGCATCAGGTCTAATCTCTGGGATCCCAGTGAAGTTGGCATCCTGGTTATTTTAAACTCAAGAGTTTGTCAGAGCAATGCAATCAACTGGTGCTTAGGGACTTGGAAACTAGAGGCAGAGGATTTGCAACAGACATCCTGCTTTTGGAATTCATGTCTACTGAAGGAGCAGAGGCCAAATACACTGGCCTTCAGGCCACACGGCAAAGCCCATGTATTTATTAATGTATTCCCTGCAGAAAAGAGCTATAGCAGTTGATGAGTTTGTGGTTTGAGATAGCTTGCCAGTTTATTTTAATAGATCACAAAATTGAGAATATGCCCAAACACACATTTCACAAACATTTTCATACGAATAGTTTGAGCACGCTTCAAAGCAAGTGCTATTTAGACAAAGGGAGTGAGTCCACAAGTCTCTCGGGGCTTGCCGTTTGTCTCCACAGACTCCAGACTACAGTGCATTTGTTTATGCTGGGCAGAGCTCCAGCCAGAAGAGCTATTTGTTTCTGATTGAACCCCAACTGTGTAGGGCCTTGAAAAGAACAAAATAAGTTGCTTTCTCTGCCCCAAATACACAGTCCAAGATCTGTGGAAGGACAGAAGGCAAAGACAAGAAAGGCAGTGAGCAAAGGGTAGGAGCTACATCTCCAACCTCACCCTCCTTCACCTCTCTGTTTTAGCTGCCGGAACTGCACAACCACAAAGATGGACAGAGCTACTGGCCTTCAGTCCCCTCCAGCCTGAAACCAGTACAGACCCCACATAATAAGTGTGAACTAGTCCACCAGAAGAGATTTCCGGGAGTTCTCAGTCCAACTACAAGAAAGGAACAGACTGCTTTTGGCAGGTGTCAGTTCCTGCCAAGAGCTGGCGTCTGGGGCTCATTTGCAGGAAAAAACAGCCTGAGTAACTACTCGTGGACACTTATTCCAAAGACTGCCTCCAATTTAACTTTTAGAAGTGGTTTAAGTTGAACCACAAAGACACTCTTTGTGTAGAATAAATGTCCACATAAGGTTAACACATGAAATAGTTTAACTTCAAGTTCACTCAGCTTGTTTTGCAGAGAAAACTACTCTAGGTCTTGAACAACCTAAGAAGTTTTATGTTCAAGCTCTACTTTTTATAGAAGAGTCAATGGAAAGCTTCAGAGAGCCAAAGTAGATAAAAACACCCAACCCCCCCGCCCCCAACAAAGGAATTAAATCCCTTACCCAGTGTTTTTCCTTCTTCTGAAGGGGATTTTCCACTGAATCTTCCACATCCATTTTTCTCAGACTCTGAGAAGCAAGCACATGAGTTCATTACCTTGCACTGTTCAGTGAGTTCTTATCTGTCCAGTATAAATTATTGATGTTAATGTGAAAAGCCTAGAAGCCCCAAACACCCAAACTTTCAAAAGCTACAATAAATTACCAATACGGTGCAGAGACAGTAGCCTTTCACATCACAAAAATAGACCTACAGCTTGGTACTCCATTTCTAGTGCAATTGGAAGGTTACTTTAGAACTACGTGAGTGTGTGAAGGTAGAGGGCATAGGAGCTGAGGGGTGATCCTAAATGTACCTCTTTGGAGGTCTGGATGACAGTCACAAGCTTCTGAAGTTCCACATATTCAGCAAACAGACTCCTACAGGTCATTTCATAATGGCTCGTAGCCTCAGAAGGCCTGGACAAGTGCTCCTCACAGGCCTGAAAGAAGCACAGCTATTTAAAAGAGATCTTGAAATGAAAGAAAGCATGGTAGGATAGAATAAAGCAAGATTCAGTTTTCTCAATCCATGGTTAAAAAACATCTTCCTCACAGTCTTTTTGTATTTTTTTTTTTGTAGATGCAGAGGAACAAAGAAGCAAGATGTCCCATCTTATATGTACAATAATGTAAGTAGTGTGTAATTTATATATCTTGTTCTCCATAAGGTGTGCTTTGAAATAAGTACCTGGAAGGGGAAGCCTCCAGTGCAGACAAAGCACAACAAAACACAGCAGGTAAAGTCACTTGTCCTTTTCTTTTCCCCTGCCCTGATCAGACTGAGGGATGGGAAGTTTCTCAAACCTTTAAATTATGGTTGAAAGGAAAATATTTGAGTTGAGACATTCAAATCCCAGCTCTTGCAGAAACTGAATACAATGGACAAATTACTTTTTTTTCAATATGCAGAGTCTTCTAGGTATCTAATTTGGAGACTACGTACAGAAGGACTTCATAAACACAGTTGTGTGAGAGCCATGCTCAGTCTTCCTTCTTAATTCTTTTCCACAGGCACTTGCATGCACCTAAGATGTTTTTGCCTTTTCCCTCTGATGGGAAAGCAACATGCTCCCTCTATGTCCTCCAACAAGCTACCCAACTGCTTCCCAGAAATGCTCTTCCCCTTGGTTAACAACATTGTTTCATCAACTCCTCTAAAGCTGCTATATTTACTAAGTGGGAAGAAGGAAACCTTGATAACATCCTGCAGGGTGACTGCTGGTTTCATTGCCTCATCATCCAGCTTCAACATGAGGCGCAGCAATTTCTCCAAAGGATCACTCAGTTCCCGCTCCACTTGGCTGTCAATTCCCCAGTCCAGGGCTTCATAGATCACCACTCCCAAGTATTCCAGCAGCTGCAGACAGAGACCAAGGAAACAGTGCAGCACAAAGCGTTGTGATGAACTTCACAGCTCTCACTTCCTAGCCATGCACTTCCCTCCACTGCCCTTCAGGGCTGAGCACATCTCTCAGGATGAGAAGGGCCCAAAAGGTAGCTAGATGCTCATCAGGTAGCCTGAGATACTCCCTAAATAAGTTGTTTTAAGATTTTAAAATGGCTTTATCTAGCACCTCTAAGCCATCTGTTAAGAACACAAAAAGACTGTGGGCTCTTCCACTGTAGGCTGCATCTGGGCACATTATTTCCCAGTCCCATTCTGTTATCTGAGTTCAGTCCTAGCATTTTGTTTCATTTTCCAGATTGAGGGGACAGAGTCACTCTCACAGGGAACAGTAAATTTAAGCACCTTAATAGTTTCCAAAGACATCTGCATCTCCTGAGCTGGCCTTCTACTACAGCAGGATTGTATCTGCACATGTACAAAGATGAAGAAACAGGCTTACCTTGTCCTCTGACTGCTGAATGCTGCCAACATCTGAAAGGGAAAAAAGAGGGGATAGGGAAAAAGATAACTGCATAGACATTGATAAACAGCTTTTAGAACCCCTGTCAAGAGAGACAAACAACAAGAATTCTTGTTAATAAGGAAACAAACCCCCTTGCCTAAGGTCAATCCTACCTGAGGAAAGTAGCCCTATATCTGGGGACTCCTGGAAAGCAACACAGGATACTCTTATTGTGAGCATCAGCCCCAAGCTAACTGCTGCTGGCTACTTTTTTTTTGTTTGTTTGTTAATAGGTATCTAACAATGAAGAAAATACCGGACCTTTGTCTTCATTATTACCCGCTCTTGTCCCTGAAGAGTCAGCCTGCCATTGACCTCTGCAGCAGTGCAACTAAGTGGTGCCCTAAGACAAAGCCTGTTGCCACTTGCTGGCTACACATAGTGACAAAAAAGGGAAACTGTCAATCATAGATCTGTTGTGAGAGCTGCTATAACAAAGGAACCATACATTGGATGATGAACAGAGTAAGACATATAATAAAGTCTCAAACTATTTATTTCAAATAACGTAAGCAGTAACAAACTTTCATCCCAGCTATTCCCTAGAACCAAATGACTCACTAGAGCACTATTAGAAAAATTAGTGGGCTACACATCTGTATTAACACTCATCTACAGTCCTTTGTATAGGCAGCAGAAACAGCCTCATGACAACATACAGAAAAACAAGGGGGTAAGCAGGAAAAAAAAAAAAAAAAAAAGCTTCCCCACTTTGTCCCCACATTTCAGCCTGTTATAGGAACAGCACTCAGTATTCACAGCTGCCTATGCTCTTACCAGACTTGTGGTACACCTTGAAGGAAGCAGTACCATCAGCATAGATAAAGATGCTTCCAGGGCCTTTTATGAACACAGAATGGAGTGGCAGGCACAGCCCCTGAGCCAACTGCTTCATTTTACAGCAAGACTGAAAGCAGATAGCCCAGGCTTGTTCCTCACTTATAGGGTGTTCAAAACACCTCAGAATCTCAGCTAAAGAGACCTTTGTGATCTTCTGCTCACATTGTAGGGACTCCATTTTCACCTTCACCTCTCATCTCCACTCTTAGCCTAGGAAGATTAACACCCCCCACTTGCCAGGATAGGCAAATGCCTATAGCAGCCTTTTATCAGTTCTGACTTCTGGTCTGCTCTCATGCCTTTCTTCCCTACAGGTGTGATCACTAATGCTGATTTTGCTCTATCTTTTTAAAGAGGCACCACTTTAATCTGTATTTGTACAAGCCTCCTTGAAAGAAAACAGGAAGTATACAACAAAATGGAATCTAAAGAGATTATAAAACTGTACAAAATTCATGCTTAATTCAACTCTACTATTTCTAATAAATATACTAATGGGAATACCAAGGTGAGAAAAAGAGTACATTCAACTTCAGGCAGAGAGAGAAGGAGGCAGGAAATAACATCTTATACTCAGGGAAGAAGAACTCACGGAAGATAACCAAAATTCAATCAATTTCATAGGAAACTATTCTGGGAGCACTAATACATCACAGCAATCAACTCCACAGGGCACCTGCATCCATCCCAGGCCCTGCTCCTGCCTGGCCTTGACAGTGCCAATCCCAGCAGCGGGGTCTGGGAGTAACACACACAGGGACCAGGCAGGCTGGGTGGGCACCCAGGGCAAGAGCAGCAAGGCCCTTCCTTGTTCAAAATGCTGATACCCGCTATTGGGGTGAAGTAAGTTACCTGGCGTTTTTTGCACTTTGGGCTCTTGTGTGTGTGTGATGGGAGGGGACAGTTGCATGGCTTGTGACAGGGGTCATCCCCTGAACACCTCTGCTGCTGCCACAGTGCCTGCAGCATCACATCGCATCGCGGGGGACCTCAGCAGCTGCTGCGCTGCCTCTGAACAGCCCAAACTCCCGAGGCGGATGCTGAAGAACCACGACGTTTTACAAGCATGAATAACATAATTTATATTTTTATTTCCCCTCTCACTTATGACATTTGGGGAATGCAGCAGGTCAAAGTCAGGCCCCGGCCCTCGGAGACGTGCCCAGCCCCTCGTGCCCCGGTGCACTGGGTGGTGTGGCGGGTGCTCGCAAGCAGCACACCCCACCACGGCCGGGGGGTTAA